ATCCGGGTTTATTGTTTGTGTATCTGAGAGAGGATAATCGAACCACAATCTGGAAAGTGAGACAATCTAATGAAGGAAGTGGTAGACTCAATGTTACTCGAATTAATAAATTTTGTCTGGGATGGTAAGGATTGTTGAACTAGTTTTGAGAGATCTATTTGTATTATATGAGATGTCAACACATAACCACTTACACTAAAGTGATGTACAATTAATTTCTCGGCTTAACTAAAATTTTATTTCTTGAAATAGATCTGGCCACTAACCAAATGAATGGGTTTTTTGTTGGTGATGTTGATATACACAATTTTAATTTCTGCTTTCACAATAACAATGAGAGGAGATTAACTTGTATATAATGAATATTCTCTATATAGGAAAACTATTAAGAATTAACGCAATGGAAAGAAGCTCTATTCTAGAAGAGTTAAGCCCTTAGAAGCTGACATACCAAGGCATGATCAAAATGTTTAAGCTTTATAGTATAGGCAGTATATTTACGCATAGGGAGGAAGTCTAATACCTATATTATGTGAATTAATTCTGTATATATGAGGATACTCACTTGTTCCTTAGAGAGTTTTCATTTTATTTTAATATACACTCTAAATACATTATTTATGGTTTAAAGAATAGCGATTCATAACTGCCTATAGGAACCTGCTAACTCTCTGATCTTGTGAACTGCAACAAAAAGTATTTCTCAGGAGCTTACATAAATTTTGTCTGGTATCTGAAACGCATAATGCCATTACTTGGAAAGGACATTTCGCTAAGGGACATCATTGAGCCCAGAAAGCCAACATATGAAGTGTAAAAAAGATTAATGAACGGCATTTTGATGTTGGTTTATATCAAAATTATCATGCAATCCCTATATGATTACAATCACGTTAACTTTTTGGGGAGTTCAGTCTAATCGACGCAATGTAATGTGAAACGTGTTGTGGAGCATTCTAAGATGGGCTCCTAATACAAAGAGAACAATATTACTCACAAGGATAAAAAAGTTCAAATGTAAACCTGCTAAAAAAGAGGTATTCCTTCGATATTTTCCACGCTGGATTCCAGACCTTCCAAAGCATTAATTTAAGAAACCAAAAAAATGGCTATGTAAGAGATGATTTAGAGCAATGTCCCACCCACAATAAACCACGCGAGATACAGTGGTTATTGTTTACGCACACCTTCAGCTGATGGAGAAGCAATGGAAATCATTTGATTCTAAGATTTTCGTGATTTTGCGCAGTATATGCCCAACCATTCCCTTAATCCCACGTCACATCCACTATTCGCCCTTTGGCGTATTATGCTATGGATGCGTATTAAATTCCTTTAAAGATTATGAAGCGCAGTACATACAGCATTTGGCCAGTGATTTTGGTGGCCTAATGTAATATGACCTCATGAAGAGGTGGAGATGAAACATTATATCAATTTATTCTTTCAATTTAATACCAGGTATGTCCAAAAGTCCTGGTAGAGATGACAATTAGCATTTAATCTCAAACCTCTGATTCATGATTGCAGGCTATTATTTGGCTCAAGGTGTTTCAAGTTTGATGACAGCAAGTGGAGAAAATTTCATGATGCGTGGCAGGCATTACTGATGGATTCTATTGCTGATTTTTCCCGCTATGGTCAATTTAGCCTATCGTGGGGTGTAGCACCAAAGGCAGGTTTTGCTTGTCCTGTTGTGGCCCTACAGTTTACAGGAGTCCTTATGGGTTTTTGTATAAGAGATAAAAGTTTTTCATAATAATGTGGTCACCGACGCTTGGCTTACATTCATCTCATTTATTTCGTAAATGCAAAAAACATTACTATATTGGATAATACTCGAGAATAGAACCTCAAAGTATCGGCGCCTTTCAAAAGGATTTTCTGGTAGTTGAATCATGCTAATTGTGTATATTTGTAATATTACTCACGAGTGATGCCAGTTAGTAAGAGTAGATAATGCACTACTATTTTTATTATTTTTTCTCACATTTCCCTGTTATCTTGTGTTACCATTCATTAGATGATCAAACCTGAGAGGTGTTGGTGTGTAGGGCTTGTAAAATGTGAAGCATGTTTCAAGTCCTATCAAGACTTGAGTTCGATCACTAGCTCTATAAATACCTGACTATATTTGACAGTGTTTTTCTATAATCACCGATATTCTTGGTAGACAAGAGTTAATAATGGTTATATAGTCTCGAAACATTACGAATATCTATTTTTTGCTAACTGATTGTTACCTGAATTATATAATATTGCTAATGATTCTATCTTGTCTATAATTTTGATTTGTATGTGATTTTCGCTGTTGGCTTCTCTGTTTTGATCCACATTTGGTATAGTTACAGATGCTTTATTCTAAGTCGATATTATATGCTATTTATTCTTAATGATTTTTCATGCAATATATTTCAGAAATAATATTATGTAGAAGAAGTTTGTTAATAGATTATATACTTTCTAGATTTTGAGTAAAATAATTATGGTTGCAATCTAAAATTTAGGGGAGATTGATCAGGAGCCAAAGTGTAATGGTAGTATATTTGCTGGGACACGTGCTGACATAAAGGTTACATCGTCTGAGTAATTTCTATTCCTCTCAGTTGTTTATAGATTGTTGTCAGTCATATAGTAGTTTAGAATACGTATGCTATAGAACTCTATTATTCATCTAGTTAAACTTTGGAGAGCTGCGGTTGCAATTTGCTACATGTAATTTTCTCATCACAATGGTTGAGAATATTGACCTAGACTCTATATTACTATAACTTTACCAATGAACATTATACATAGACCACAATATGTCTCCACTCAAGTCTATACTCATAGTTTATAAAGTAATAGCGCACGAACAAGGAGTTGTTGCGAAAGCCGCTTTGGCAAGATAGTGTGAGAAGGACAATTTCTGTGAGTTCTGCCATCAAGTGTTGTAGGTTTGGCATATCTCTTGTTAAACTAATTTTATTTATAGTGATTAATATCTTGTCATAATTTTATTTTTATAGCATATATGTCATTAATATATTAATTTAATACTAATTATTTAGATATTGCTATAGTTACTCTTTATCATTTCTTTTATTGTTTAAGTAATTTAATTAGAATGAAAGATGGTGCTCTCCTGTATTTTTTAAAAATGATGTTGTGCACTCTCGAACTACTTGTTGCGAGTAAGAATATCAGTCTAAAGAGCATATTAGGTAGACACCAGTTGGTAATCAGCGATCCTTATAAGTATAGAGATAAAGATTCAAATGAAGTATTATTAGATTGGATAGTCTTCCACTGGCTAAAATGCACTTAAATGGGGTTAGACAGGGAGGCGTACAGTGTAAATTTTGAGACGCTTTGTTTTACTAAGCTATTTTAGAAACTATTGTTATTTTTGGTTAAGGAAGTTGTACTAGAAATGGGTTTGGTTGATTAGACCGCAGAGTATAGCATGATTTTTTTGAAGAACTACAAGAATCTCAGATATCTCGAAGAATTTGGGCCGCATCAAAATAGGATTATTGAGATAATGATATCCATATATAGATATATGATAAGGATGTCTGAAGGCTGATAAAAGATGTAGGTTAAGAGTATGATTAGCAGCACAAATATTTAAGTCTCTCCACCGCACTCTAATATAGTTTATGGCTTAATATTTTGTGTCATAACTATTAAAATATTAATTATGGCAATAATGATTTCTATGAGGAACCAAATAATTTAATTACAATTGAGATTACCACTCGTCAGAGAATATATGAATATACTATTGGATACTGCAATCTCTTGGTGTGAAATGGCGCAATTATAAAACTAATTTGAAAGCAGAGCACTGGATAGTAGACCAGTAGAGGAGATTATGGAGGCTGTCCCAGCAGGAGTAGACCCAACGCAATGGTGTCAGATTGTTAGTAAGTGGTCACAACCTCATGACAAGGTGAGTTAGTAAAATAAATCATGTTATTGAGTTTATTAAAAAATGACATTATTATGCCGATTATTTCTTGTAGGAAAGGGCAGCAAGAAATGCAGAAAATGCAAAAAAACAAACATGTCCGCATACGATGGGTCGGATTAGCTCTGTAAGGAGACAACAAGAAACAGTATGTTATGTCAATTGCTTATATATTTATATTTTTATGAAGATAATTAATTTTCAATTTTTTGGTAGTCTATACAAGATCGTCTCTTATTATGGAAAATCAATCGCACTCGTAAAGATGGATCATGGTCATCTGAGGATGCCAGACAAAAATGGGTAAAATCATAGACATTTCACATGATAAGTTTATAATATGTATACTTAAATTTATTTTTCTCCTTGTTAATATTAAATAAATATTTTTTTTTAATCTAGGCACATGCTTCTGAAATGCTTGCCGAGGAAGGGTTGATGCCAGAAGATGGAAATTTGGAGGCCAATGAGAAAGCCTTCAAGGCGATCATGGGGCCAGAACACCCAGGGAGGGTACGGACACAAGGTTTTGGGGTCACTCCAAGCAGATATTTTCCTCAGAGCACCACGACTCAAGGAAGTGGCAGCGGAGGCAATACTGCATTTGATCGAGTTGTTAAACTTGAGGAGGTGGTGCGAACACTGCAAAGTGAGGTGAGACAATTGAAGGAAAATAACCAACAACAACATCCACCAGGAAGTTCAACTCTGGTATGTAAATTTAAAAAAAAGAAGACATTTTTATTTATTGATTTATTTATTTTCTTCGTTTTTACTAATGAATTTTATATTATTAACAGGGTGACAATGATCAATTCTCGCCTAATTGAAATCTAAGGTGTAGAAGAAGAGAATGTGTAATATTAATGTGCATGATATTTCTTTTATGTATGGTTAATAGTTTGTTTTTAAATGTTATAAAGATTTGCAATGATTGATATTACTTAGCCCAAGTTTACTAATGTTTGTGAAACATGTCAACTTTTGTCATTTTCATTCCAAATTCTTTTTGACAGCTTATGTCATAATTTCTTGATGTTGTTATTGTTTGAGATAGATATTTTGTTTCCTTAGTTTCATATGCACAAAATGTTGGACATTAAATGCAAAAGTGATTAAATTTTTATTTCGATTGTTCAGTTGGAAATATCCACTATGTGGACTTAAAAAACTGGACTTCACCGTCTTCACGGTTTCATGAGAGCTTTTGCCAGATCTAGTGCCTGATATAAAATTCTCACTTGAGAAAAGTTTTTCATTGACCAAAGCAAGTGGCCGGGATATTGATTTATGGTCATCTAATTCCCTAAAATCTAAATTGCCATGTTTGGGGTTATCAATTTTGACATTTTCATCTCTGTGGAGGTTAATATTACTTGGTTTCTGAAGCCTTCACATACCCATTGAAGATGCAGAAACATTATGAGGACTTAAGGAAGCGATGTTTCCTCATTATTTGTAGATAAGTACCTGGAATGAACTTCTGAGATATGTTTATCAAGCACACTAAATTGAATAGCCTTGGCACTATTGATGGAAGCATGGATGAATTACGTTATGCATTGTCACACTTGAAAGATGTTAATTGCCTCTTTCCAATTAATTCATATTCTTCGTCCGTTGAAAGCCTGAAAGTTCTTGCTCTATTCAAAAGAATGCTTGTAATAAAAGCAGGAATGTGGTCAATTAATGATGTTTGATTGAGATCAATTAATGATTTATTCCAATTTAGTCTCAAACATCTATTGAAAATATATATTTTTGTAATAAAAGTCATATCGTTTTAATGTTGTTATTGTTGGAAATGATTTATTCAACAATTTTCTATGAATTATGGGATGGTTGAGGTGTAATATGAATTTTTTTTTTTTCAGAATTGCAGCGGTAATATCAGCGGTTATTACCGCTGTTAAAGATCAATTCCTAATTTACATGTTAAAATTAGCAGCGGTTATAACCACTACTAAAGATTCAAATCTAAGATAATACCAGCGGTTATTACCGCTGCTAAAAGAAACACTACTAAAACTACCCCTACAGCAGCAGTTTAAATAGCGCTGCGAAAGCCCTTTGTAGAGATAGCAAATACGGCGGATATGCAGCGGTTTGAAAACCGTTGCAAATTAAATAGTATGTGTTATAACCGCTGCCGTAGGGTAGAAAAAGTGCTGTGAAAGCCTATTTTTATTAGTAGTGTATATTATATGATATTAATCATATTGTATGATTAGTATTAATTTTAAATAAATTGCCATTATAGTATTATTTTAAAAATTAGATTAATTCCAAATTTGAGTTAGTAGTATTGTACTTTGTATATCGTATTGTTCAAAATTTGTTAACATGGTATAAGCATTCATATAGTATGTTCTCAGTTATGCTGGATGATTAAATAGGGATGCATTCATGACTTTTTTTAATGTATTGTACGATGATCAAATTATAATGTACAATCTACCTATATTTTCTAGAAAGTCTTTTTAAAGGTTTATTACTAAAAACCTTTTACATAAAATATTTTAAAATTTATTTAAAATATATTTAAGTTTTTAAAAACTAGGAGAATAGAACTTTGATAGAGAGTACTTCAGCTTTGTATTTGATATTCCTAAGAGAGAAAAATCCTATGGAGCGAGTTCACCCATTATTTTATTACTATTCTTCTACCTCAAATTTTCTAGTGTTTTATTCTGTTCTTTGGAGTTATTGCCACATAAAGAGAATCTAGCTTTGATCGTTACCACGTCCTCGAGCTACCTATCCATGAAAAACAGACTGGATCAATACAAGAGAGCAAGGATTTGATAGCCACCATTATTCACTTTGATCGTCACCAATATTCTTCAAGCTACCAATCCAGTGGAAAGCTAGGATCAACACAAGAAAATAAGCTTTTGATCATTGCTGAAAATTTCTGAGCTATGAATGTAAAGGGAGGACTTGGACCGACACAATAGATTGTGTTTTCCTTCACCTCCTAAAGAGGTATTTATAGGTAAAGGGATAGAGTAGATGAAAGGTTATTCTATAAATTTATTAAAAAATTTATTAATTTATTTGGAATTTTAAAGGCCAAAAACACTCCTTTTTATGAAAAGTTTTCTAGAATTTTCTATAATTCCTTAAGGATTTTTGGAATTTAAAAGCCAAAAAACTACTCCTTTTATGAAAAGTTTTATAGAATTTTTCATAACTCTCTAAGGATTTTTTAGAATATTAAAAGGCACAAAAAAACATTTTTTGATATATAAACTAATTAAAATAATTAATAAATTATTAAATTCTCTCCAAAGAAGGTGGTCTGCATCTAGAAATCTCTAAAAAATTCTTTTCTAAAGTTTTCCAATGCTATAATAAGTATATATATATAACATATATAAACAGATATATATATATAAGAGTTATAACAGTGTAATCAATCATATGATTAATCAAATTGGGTTATTATTAATTAAAGAGATTATTAGCAAATTGTTCATATGTATCTGATTTATTCAACAAACTGAAGTGATGCATAGCTTTAGAACTAGCTATTTGTTGGTCATTTTGTAGGACCAAAGCTCATATATGGCAGATTTCTTTAAGTATAATTTATATGACCAAATAATATTTGTTGTGTCATGGAATATTCATGGTGATAGAGAAATATATATATAATTTAAAATCTTAGCTTTGCACAAAGATCCAGCACACAATCAGATAAAATAGGAGGTGCAACATTCAAAAGAGACCCTAGAGTTTTTATGTGGAAACCCATGAAAAGTGGCAAAATCATATGGCCTGGCCCAGTTTGAAAAGATCCACAAGTATTTCTAGTTGATTTCAAATGAGGCCATTCCTTAAGGGGAAAGCCTTGGCTTGATATAACAAATATATATCATATGGAGTGCATTACATGGTGAGAATAAGAAGAATCAATGTTGACATGTTAGTTTGAAGGATTATAGTCAGCGAGCGAAGAAGGTTGGAAAGACCATTGTCGAAGGGAGACGGAGGTCAAAAAGACCATTCTCTGACGATGGATGTTGAAAGAAACATAGTCGGTGAAGGAGGTCAGAAGAATCATAGTCAGTGGGCGACAAAGATCAAAAGGACAGTTGTCTGGTGACATAGGTTAGAAGGATCGTAGTCTGTGGGCGATGGAGTTTAGAAAGTCTATTGTCTGGCGACAGAGGTCATAAGGACCGTAGTCGAGAAGGAAGTTAGAATGTTCATAGTTGTAAGAGACAGAGGTCGGAAAGACCATTATCTAGTGATGGAGGTCTAAAGGACCATAATAGGGATGAAATAGAGGTTAGAAAGATCGTGTCGGTGGGCGACGGAGGTAAAAAAGATTGTAGTCAGACAATGGATGTCAAAAGGATCGAAGTTAGTGAAGGTGGTCGGAAGGACCATAGTTGGAGGGTGATGGAGGTCAGAAAGACCATTATCAATATGCAACGAAATTCAGAAGGATCGTAGTCTATGGGCGACAAAGGTTGGAAATATAAAACTCCTTTATGATAAGAAGTTTAACTTTTAAACATTGAGGCACATCTTGGTATAATTATTAGAATTTTATTAAGAAACTCTACAGTTAAACGTGCTCATATAAGAGTAATTTTTAGATGGTTAACCTAAGTAGTCTAGTGATAGAGGTCAGAAGGACTATTATTGGGAGGAAGTCCAACAATCATTGGAAGTCGGGTGGAAGTATGACATTAGTGGTTGGGTAGAAGTCCAGCATAAGTTGGTGATCGAGCATAATTTTGGTGGCAGTTATGAGCCGGTGAGGTCTGGTAAAATTCCTATGACAATCAGTATCAAACAAAAAGTTTGATGATAGTGGGTGGCTGAAATAAAGTTTGAAGATAGTCGATGACCAAGAAACATTTTAGCATCTTCTGGTTGGTTGGTTGGAAGTCCGATGGCTGGCGAAAGTATGGCGTCAAGCAGAAGTTCAGTGTCAGGAGGTGGTTCGACAAAAGTCCTGGCATTAGTTTGTTGTTCGATAGAAGTCCCATGTCAGGCAGTAGTCTGACAGAAGTCTGATGTTAGTCAGTGGTCTGGCCAAAGTTCTGCGTCAGGCTGTGGTCAACGGAAGTCAGGGTGATGGTCGAGAAGCTAGGTAGTAAGAACGATATCTGATCTCTCTTCATTCTTCCTTGCTTGGGGCCCCTCTCTTAAGAGATGTGATTGGTCTATTTATAAATTCCTAAGAGTGGCATGTCCTGTAAATAGGAGAAAGATCAAGGGTAAATTGGGAGTGATTTGGATGGATGACCAATATTGAATTCCTTGATTGTAGACCATTTATTAGGCAATTAAATTTCATAAAAAAAATATAAAATATGTAAATCTTGGGCTTGTTAAATTCATCTCGTTGAACCGCTAGATTTGACTAGAAGCATTTAATGTTTAGAAATTGTTTGTTAATACAAAATATGATTTCAACCTTCAAAATGTGCTTCGGGTATTTTATTTGGACCCATTTTGGATCATATTGAGTTGAATTAGGTGTCATTGTGTTTGCCTTCTTGAGAAGTTCAATTTGACAATAGGTTTTGTAATCGGAGTTCAGATGTTCCCATATTTAAATTTTGAAGTTTCCAACTTGATTTTTACTTGAGATTTGTGCCCGTTCAAGATAATATTTTAATTATATACCAATTTACCCCCAATTTTTGAATCTTGATGCTCTATAAGTCCAAAAATATGCAACACAACCATTGGAAAATTTTGACTATGTTCTAGTCAAAATTTGACAATGATTGGTGGCCAGGTGAAAGTGCGGCGTTGTTCACTTGGGGTACGATGGTGACCGGTCTAACCACAATTTACAATCAGGTGGAAGTTTGATGGCGATCTATAGTTGGGAAGTGTACTGAAGGTGATAGTTAGAGAATATGTTAATAGTAGTTGAACGATAAGCCGATGATGACAAATTTAAAGTGATGGACCGACAATAGACATATGATGAAATGTCGAAGATGGTGGTGCTTAAGTTGCATTATACTGATGATAATTTGTATACATACTAATGTGGGTGGACCTCAATCATGCCTAATGGAAGGGGTCAAAGCAATGTGCCTTGTTAATAGCTTGACTACACACTAACAGTGTTAATTAAGTGGAGTTATGATGATGATCAGGTTGTAATTTTTCTTTGAATAAGAAGTTTTAGGAGATGCTTCAATGTACAATAGAGATGAGGTCAATAGTGCCCACCATTGATATTTAGTCTTTTTGAAGTTGTTTGTTGCTTGATGACATTAACTTGTATGGATGATGCTGATGTAATTTTAATTTCAGCTTTTACTGAGAATAAATGCACACTTTAATCAGCCATAGAATTTTCTATAAGCTCTAATAATATTGTATATGAAGTTAATATTAATATATGAGCTTGATGCTTATTTTTCATTTGAAATTAACTTTTCCCCCAGAGAAAACTAAGTTATTTATGCATTTTTGAGACATGCTTTGATATATTGCCCCCTATATCTTTTTTAGGCTTTTTAGCATACTAAGATCTTCATATAAGTGATAAT